GCAAATGTTGCAGAATCCCATCTGGTTTCATGGAACAACTTATTTTCTTACCCACTTCATTTAAGCTTCCAGAAAGAAATAAAAAAAAATGAAAAAAGAAAACAAAGAAAAGACCTTTTCTTATGTATACAAATTATATCCATAAGTTATTCCAAACAGGCAGAAAATATTTCAATCTCATTACAGCACAAACAGAAAAACAGTCTAATTCTTGGCATACTGTTTACTGTTACGTGAAACTTGTGTGTTTCATACAGAAATAGGGAAGAACAATTAAAGCCCGGGTTTTTAAGAATGCAAGCGACTGTTAATCAGACTAGTTAGCTGGATAAATAACAGAATGGATAAGTAACACTCCTTCCCCCTCCCTTTTTTTTTTAAGCCCAACACACAGAACCTTTAGTAGGGGAAAAATTTCTCTTAATACCCAAGAACAACAGTTCTGAATAATCCATGTTTCCTCACTCAAGCATTCATTGTTATTGAAGTCAGAGAATAAAAGCTGTTTCAGCAACGTAAACACCATACGTGGCTAACAGGCATATAAGCTTGAAACTTAGTCTTTTTATCTGATGTTGTTCTTTAGAAGTATTTAGTCGAATAAAATCCATGTAATAAGACTAAAGTGGTTTCCCTGCAATGGAAGATAGCACTGTATAGGATGCACTTACTGTAGCTCATAAATATTAGATGTACAGCAGCTTTTCCAAATTTCATTCAGGGTGTGCTGAACTGCTGCTGAAAAGAAAGGTTCACATTATCTCTTCATTAAATCAATTCCCTGAATAATGCTGTACAATTTTCTTTATATTAAGAACTGATTGAAGTGCTCCTATTATGATGCCAACATCAGATCAACTGTCATTCACTTAACTCAGGCATTGCTACAGCCTTGAAGAAAGCACGTAATACTTTGTATCCTGCATTAACCCAGAACTTATTTATTAAAATACATTACCTGACATGATGACAGAACACACACCTCAAGGAAAGTATGACACTTATTACCCACAAAAGGAGGGGTTTTTAATCCTTTTTTGAGACATTGCGTGACATATCGGAGTAGACAGAGAACTGAGTAGTACTTTAACAGTTACGAAATGGGTGAAAAGGAAATTTGATACTAAAAAAATTACTCCTACCTCCTAGACTAGTTGAGTTTGGATATATGTTTTTTATTTTCCAGAAACTGTAATGCTGCAACACAAAAGGTCTGTACATATGCAAATACTCCAAAGTCAGCAATGAAGTGGCTATTCTGCAACTGTTTTCCAAGATAAATTTTATTATTCTTATTTTATGATGGTAACAATTAAAGAAATACTAAAGGTCAAACCTTAATTGCAATATGCAGCAATACTTGCTAACCACTAGATTGGATTAGTTTATAAATCAATTCAGACTACTTTGAAACTGGTGCCAAAAATTTTTTAGAGCATTAACTTGCACTTAATTTAAACCTCAGCAAAAGACTTACTAAACGGAAAATTATCCATGGGTTCCAGGCACTAGAGTAACCCTTTCCGTTTCAGAGTAACTCTTCCACTTTCGGAATAACACTTTCCCTTTGAAAACCTAACAAAACAAACCAAACCAAATCTAAAAAAGGAGGAGGCGGGGACTGAAGGAAGAAGAATTATTACAAGAGAAAAGCAACACCTTTCCCAGCTGAAACATTCTACCCTTGAGAAGAAACCCTTTGTCTATCCTTACTCCACTGAAGAAAGAATGCAACTACTGGCCAACAAAATCACGTCACTGATGAAGATGTTAAATTGGACCAAGTTGCTTCCATGTAATCCATTGCTAACAAAATAAATGATGAAACTTTTCTTGGACTGTTGTTGTAATTGAAACAATGTAGACTTTCTGGTTCATTTAATCCATTTGTTACGTGTTACACCAATTTTTAGATGCTTTTTTCCTGTTCAGCTTATGCTAGTCAATGTTGGTGGATAAGGTTAAAACATACAGATTTACTTGCAGAGTGAAATTTTAAGTACATAGATAAAAATGTATAAAAAAAGGCATTGCTTTCCCTAATAACAACTTTAAACCTGTGTGATCATAAATACAGATGATGCTAGAAACAGCAATGATGCCTGACAGCTGATAACTCTTCTTTGTACTCATGGCTGCCTATTTTTCACAACTCACATTATGCCATTTCCTCTAATTTGGAAGTGTTATCACTTAATCCCTGTCTAATGGTTATATCCTTTATTAATGGAATAAAATTCCCCAGTTCTGACTGGACCGTACCACAAACTTGTATTTTCACTAGATATTTCACTGGAGTTGAGACCTCTTGCCAAGTTCTTCTATTCTTTTACATGGTTTCAAAACTTTGGGATTGTTTCCCTCTTAAGTTTGCACAGGCATGCCTACACTAGTATGCTAGCTCAGGTCACAGGGGTACTTTAAAGATCATCCTCACTAACAGCGCTTTTGTTTACATCTCAAAGTAGGCTGGGAGTACACAAACTAAATTCTTTCTGGATGAAAGTACACAGGAAAGCTCAGAGTGCACCCAACCTGCTCCAGCAAGTAAGAGGCACTATCTGGAGGGCCAGAAAAGAGCCATGCTTAAAGGAAACTCGAAGTCTCACAAACTGGGGACATCAGGTCCTCAGCACCAACTACCTTGCTCTACAGAAGCAGTTTGATGGGGCTACTCTGTATTGTCAAGCATCCTCAGTAACAAAGAGGCAAGGCTAGAAAGAATTAGGATTCACATGTTTCCCTGATAGCCCCCACTTAGTAAAGAAGAGAAGGCAACACTTTTTACATAAGAATGACTGCATCATGTTTCAGTTGAAAATTCGATAGTCTTAAGCATTAGCAGGCATATTTTAAGGAAATTCATAAATACATAGAAGGGCAATGAGCTTAGTGCACAGAAGCAACAGCATACAACGTGTGGGGTACGAAGACCAAACTCTCTCATAATCTCATTCAGTCACTCTATTGCCTTTCAAGTTCCTATTTTATGAATACACTTACAGTAACATGAAGAAAAAAGGAATATTCTGCAAGTCTCACTTCAACCTCCAAAGGCACTTCTCTGCTTTGAACTCATACATGTAAACTGTCTTAGAGCATCCAGGTAAACACATTATTTTATCATCCTAAATGTAATGGGAGAACAGCATTGAAGAGGGACAGCCACGGGGCCCACAGAAAACAGCTCCGAAGGAGCCGTACTGCAAAGATGCACGACGGTTTTGTGCAATATGTCATCTTTGTACCAAATTCAATGATATTAGAGCAACTCAAGGCTGTACCAACTGCATATGTTAGGGACCTATGCCTGTACACCATATTGGGGAAGAGGTGAACATGCAGGTGAACATGGTAGATGTATGTTAATAAAAAGGTAATAAATCTTCTGGAAGTGAGAAAAAACATAGTACTTTGTGTAGTCCAACATAAACAAAAATAGTCAGAAAGCCAAAAGCCAGCAAGGTCCAATTTATTCAAGGTCAGTACTTTTATATAAGGACTTACATTTTCTTTGGTAGGAAAAAAAATGCCAACTTAAAATTAAGCATTTTATTTAAATAAGCCATATAGGTGAACCAAAATAATTACAAATACTTACACTCAGCAAAAGGTTTCCAACAAATATTATTTTGTTAGTGTATTAACCAATGCAAAGTAAACCAGAAAATTCTTTCCCACAATTCAGTTAGAAAAAGTCTCAGAATTACAATTTTTTCCTTTGTATTTGATTTTGTATAGATATTTAGATTCAGAGTTGACAGAAGGCCAAAGGTGTCACAAACACTGAACTGTCTGAATTATAGAATCCTGTAAGAAAGGTTTTTTATAGCAAGACTTAGTTCCCTCTAGAAAAGCAAGTGAGTTAATTTTAATTGTTTAATAAGGACTGAAAGTACATAAAACTGTTCTACGGTTTCAGGCAGGGCCCTTTGCTCCAAATATTTCTCTATTAAGTGAGCCCTAAAAGGCATGCTTACAGAACATTTGTGTGTTTCATCTTCTAATAAGGAGGGGGGAAGTTTTTGCAAGACCCACATATTACATCTCCTACAGGAATCAACTAATCAGTTCAATACAGGGTTCAGCATTCCCAGTGCCAGTCTGCTTGTTTCTTGGGCAAGAGAGGAGGGATAAAAGGGAGAGAGGTAGCATGACAAGAATAAAGGTCTTAGCATTGGCTTAATTTGTAACCTATAATACATCTTTGAGATCGAAAGTCAAACAGTTTTTATGCACAACAGAAGTATAAGACATTTCATATTAATGATCTATAAACTAGTGAACTGTCCCTTAACGGTGTTTTCAAAATACAGCTTTCAACCATATGCTCTTTAAATATCTGGCAGAACAGTCTAGTTTATTAGAAAGTGTAACAAATATATGCAATTAAAAAAAAAAGCACTTGGCAAACGAGATACCATTTTATTACAGTATACAATGCTATTTCCATTGGAAAACAGATACATTCCAAATGAAAGTAACAGAAAACAAAAAATTTAAGACAAAGACCATCAATGAACATATATAAGTTTAAAAATACCATGGCGTGTTGTACAATTTTTATTGATGGGAATGCAAATATAACCATGGCATATTACAGAAACAATTTATAACATTTCATTAAAAGCAGTTCCTTATAAACATCTGCAATCATCTCTAACAAATACACAGTATATTCAAATCCTTGTATCTTAAATCAAAATATTCCTCTAGAAGCCTATTGTAGATGGTTACTAAAACACCAACATCAGACTTTACAATTACAAAAAACAAAAAAAAAAAAAGCAGAAATACCTAAAAATGGGCACCTAAAATCAGTAGGTATCTCATGCAGCTGTATTTCAGAAAGTACTGATCATGTTTCTCAGGAAGATAAATTGGTCAAAAGGTGTCCAAATGCCCCCCAAAAAAACAGAGGGGCATTTCATGACAGCTAATTATCACCTAAAACTCAAATGAATGCAGATGTTTAACAGAAATATAGATATATTTTTTTATATATGCTCTCCAGTCACAAGATTCAATTTAATTCATCTGTGCATACCTGAGCTGCTATGTTGTCTACATTCAGTTTTCCTGGAAAAGACACTAAAAGGTAACAAGTCAACAGAGTATATTTTAGCTGAACTGCTAATTTTATTTAAATCACTCTTCTTTTCCAAGGAACTTGTACACCTACTGGCAAAGTCTGTAAAAGAACGCCATCTTTTAGTTATCTCTCATGTCTTCCTTGCTTGTATCTGATCTGTTAATAAAAAGAAATGGCTAGTCTTAATACACAATGAATTCTTGCTATATTTTGCTTTTTGAACACATAACCTGGAATTGACCAGGTGACAAGTACACCAAAAGATATTTTGGTGTAGTTACAAGAATGGGGGACAATGCAGTTGTTTTCAGCTTGGTCTCTCATCTACTTCCAAAATTCCTCCACAGACAAGTTGTTTTCCCTGAATGTTGCTAATTAACAGGGAGACTTTACCACATAACTCAACTTTTATCTTTTTGTTTTGCTCTTATAGGATAACTTTTATGAGAATAAGGCCTAGAAGTTTACTTTATGAACTGTGCATTTTAACTCCTTGTATACTTTTCAGCTTCCATGTAAGTGAACATGAACCAACTCCCCAACAGCAAAGGATTTAAAGCTAGTTTTTTTAATAACTTGCATGAGAACTTCTTTGCTCTCAGTAGCCACACTTCTCCATATTGCTGCCTGATTGCCACTTCTTAATTCACTTCAAACATTTCCTTAGCATAAATATACCACATCCCCATTACAAAATGTGGAAATCGGCACAATTCACCCCCCTAACAGGGAACGTGAGCTGGGGTTAGGCTGTTGTGAGACAGCTTAGTTTTACCCTATTGATGATGTGATGTTGCATTACAAAACAGGGAAATAAGCAAACTTAGCCTTCATTAGGCTGGGGGAAATGAATGTAAAACCTTCTGCCCCTGCTGCCCCAAATCTGTGAACTACCTGGGATGGGTCTGGAAAAGGTAACTAAGGAAAGCATGGCTGCTGACAAAGAGAACTGAGCCTTCACTAACCAGGTGTCATTTCCTCCACTGAATTTTATGGCATCAACAGGCCATGATTTAGGGACCACTATAACTTAAGAGTTATTCCAGATTTTTCCATCTAGTGGTCTAGGGATGAGGAGGAGAACTGTAGTTCTTGGAATATCAAAGTTTTCATGCACTAAAAGTATAAACTGCACATTTAGGCAACAATGGTTTAAAGGTTTAAACCCAACCCCTTTTAAGCTGTTGAGGACACTGAGCCAAGGAGTTGAAGGAAATTTTAGATAAAGCCCATCCATGAAGAATTTCAGCTCAGAAAATGAAGAAGTTTAACAATCCATGAGAAGTGAATAGCTATGAAGAGCAATGTGAGTGAATCACCTGCTTACTGTGCTTAAAAACCCACGTATACAACTTGAATGTTTTCTGACAAAATATTCAGACAAGCATTTAAGATCCTTTTAAGTAGCTTGAAGCTACATACAAACCCATCAACTTAAAATCTGGATTGACTCTTAGGAGGTTCCTCAAAGATAAGCACAGACCTTGAAAATTATAGGAATATATTACAAAATCAGAACTATGCCTGAAATTAGGAAAAAGGACGTGATTTGGAATCTTCCTCTATGATAACAGGATACATAGTGAAGGAAACTCATTAGTAAGATGCTGGTTGCCCATCATAGAACACTTTTAGATGGTAGAGAATGGATCACTGTTCTGTAGGGCAGTGAATCTCTTTATAAAGACTATTTTTGGTCCCTTCCTCTGAAAACCAGACCTAATGTTTTTTGTAGTCTGTAATAATACAGTAAAATAAACCATCTCTTTCTAATTAGCAGTGAGGATGCTAAGTACAAAGGGCAATCTGGTATCAATAGATAAATGGCGATATGTTAAATTGGGGACAATGCTGGATATTATTTAGCTGCATTTTGAAGGGAGTGAGTTTAGTGGCACTGACTCCGGAACATCGCTGACATCTAGCGGCTGCCAGAGCACAGAACACGCCAGTACACAGAAACCTACAGATTCAGATTATACTACACTACCTAGTACACACACAACGAAAGCAACGAAAATTAGGCAGCTAAAATTAGAATGAGTCTACCAAAACAATACCACACTTCACTATTCTACGCTTTCAGCAGTATGTGGGAGGACAAAAAAGACCAGATCCTTAGCAACATGCAATAGAAGGATACACAGCATCCATATCAAGTTTGTAATTAAAAACATGTAATACATCCTTCTAAGCTGGATCTGGTATTTTCTATGTAGTTATGAGTGTCTGCATATTCTGTGATAGTTATAATGTAAGCTGTTCTTATTTTGGCTCTAGATTAAAGAACTGAAGTTGAATAATCAAAACTAGCATATTTGTTTGTGTACTTCACTTATTTTTTTAGCCTGCTTATTTACTTTTTCCTGATATATAACATTAAGTTATGTAAAACTGGGACAGGACAGTAAGAATGAATTACAGAACAAGCTGAACTACTGCAAGAATACACTGAAGTGCAGGAGCTGGTATTATTGTTTACAAGAAAGTGTTGCACTGGTTGCAAGAGTTATGCATTAATATTTCATAGTACTTGCTATTGTCAGAGAAACTGACATGATCTTTTGTGTATGTTAAGGAGGTAAATGAAAGGCAAATAGGAGATGGAGCATCAGTACTCACTGTGTAATTTGATCTGACAGCAGAAATGGACAGAAAGAAAACAAAGGAAATAATAAAGAAAAAAACTCTTACAAAATGAAAAAGCTTAACAGAATGAGAACAGAGCAAGAGAATTACATATGATATACCTTGGAGCCAATCTACACCTTCTTGTAATCCTTCCCCTTTAAGAGCATCACTGGCACTGAAAGAAACAAATCAAATTACAAAAACATTGTAAAAACCTGGTTTTAGTGCAGTCATCATTATACTTCTAATTTGCAGAATTGCAAAGTAGCATCAACTACAATTTAGTTAAGTTTTCTTCACATGGAGAAGGCTGCTTCTCAAATGATACATTCTAGAGTACCCTCCAGATAAACATGGAAACACCATTTCAAGATGTGATCTATTTTAATTTCAGTTTCAAGGCAGAGGAATTATTCCTAGAACATGAGGGGTTCTGGAAGAGCTCTCATACAAGGCAGCCACCTTGTCCTGCAGCACTTCCATTCAGATTATGCTATAAAAAATGTTTCCTATCTACAACAACAGTGATGAATCATACAATCATAGAATCATTTAGGTTGGAAGTGACTTTTAAATTATTGAGTTGAAGCATCCTCCCATGCAGTTCCTATGTGCAGCGAGGATGCTGGAGTATGGGGAGAAGAAAGTATAGTATGCTTCGTTGTAACAGCAACCCTAGGAATGTCAGGTAATACATATATAATAGTAAGCAACACCAAGAAGAGTGTAAATCTACCTCTTGAATCACAGGGGTGTAACTGTGCTTATTCAGCTTACGAAAACTAGCACAGCAGTGAATCTGGCCTATTACTGTGGTTAGTTATAACATTTTTTTCCAAGGATCTTCAGAATTCATTGGTGTAATTTCTGAGACAAAAAGCAGTGACCCCAAAACAATGCAGAAGTAACCAAATTTAGTATTAAAAAAGACCTAAAATGAAAATTGTAGTTTTCAATAGCATTTAGCTGCTGATTTCACTTCTAATTATAGTATTTGAGGACTTAAATAAGACAAAAATCTAACTTCTACAAAGCACTTCTGATGAGAGGGTTTTTTTTTCCATTGTGAACATTGGCACAAAATCCCTCTATTGATATGAAAGCTTACATCCTTCAGAAAGAAAAGACTAGCTCCTACAACTAAAAATTACACAGTAGAGTATGGTGTCCCTCTGAATTTACTAAATGGCCTTTCAGCAGTAGTTTACTAAAGCATCTGCAGAGTTAAGTAAGATCTCTAAAGGTTTAATTGTTGATATTCTGAAAGCTGCAAGCAGCACCGATAACAATTCTACTCAATTTCCCAGCACAAAATAATAGCAGCTGTTCTTCTGATAAGAACACTGCTTTCTGATTTCACTAGAATTTCTCCATTTCATTATTTGGGTAACAGTCCTATTGTGAAAATTTTCAAGACACAGTCAACACTGTGTGTTTAAAACAAGTTTCATACGAAGTATTTTAATATTACTACTGTTCCCACATGTGGCAACACAGCATTTTATCCAGTTGATGTAATTTATGTTATATAATACTGAGTGGCATGGTAGACATAAACATGAATGTAAAAAGTAATACCAATAAAAGGGTAGCAAAAGGGAAATTTACCAGATATGCCAGGGCTTGTCTTTGATGTTTTCTAATGACAATAACTGAGATACTTTCACAGATGACATTGCATCCCTGAGGTCCATCTTGTTAGCAAAGAAGAGAATAGGCAGTCGACGGTGCTTTATATCTAGACATGAGCAGAAATAGAACTAGCATGGCATTATGTAACACTTGTTAATCTCTACATGTAATAAGCTACAAACAGTACAGGAAGATATTTGCTCACCTGTAACTGCAATTCTCTGAAGGTTGTATCCTACCAACTTGCACACTGTTGGGTCACATGGCCTCTGATGCATGCTTCAAGAATGCTCACAGACTTTCCTGGAGTCTTTGGGATCTTCTACCCCCTTTCCCCTACCTTATACTTACATTTAAAGCTGTAGGTATAAATTGCTGGTGAAGCTGAGGAACAGGAAATCAAACAACTGCCTACAAATATTACACATCTGCTTGGTGAGGACTGGATGTGTAAAACAGACAGAAGTGTTCATTCATAACCTTGCAACAGCTGCATAAGGGTGGTCTGAATTATCCTTTTGCATTCTGGAGAGCATTCATGACTTCATAAAATTAGTAAGATAGGAAAAAATGCACATCTGGACATCCCTTATCCTATCTTCACTTGAACAACTTATTTTTCAGAAGCTCTTCTCAGCTAGCAGTGAGAACTACAGACCAAACCAAGTCCACTGGCAATATCTGGCATAGTTACACATTCAAAAGCATAAGCTTCATTGATTGCCACAAAAGACTAGAGAGTCATTGAAAGGAAGCAAAGTACACTGTCTTCAACTTGACAGATGCAAAACTGCCAGCACCAATACTAACTGTAAGAATTTTTCACATTATTCAAGCAAAAGAGGAATTACAGGATTAGAAAATCTAGAAAATCTAGATTTGAGCCTATCAATCAATTCTTGAAGGGAAAATAACACTCCCCAGCCCCCCCCTCCCCCCAAATTGCTATACAGGCTTCTTTTTAAATAGTAAAAATAAAAGGTTATTTCGCATAGGAACAAGCTAAGGATTTACTTAAGAACTTCAAACGTAAGCCAGCTGTCCCTGCCGGGGGAGTGGTGGGACATAACATGATGGGACAACATAAAAACCCAGCAAAGCAAAACCCCAGCAAACTCTCAATGCTGAAGTGGTTTGAGCCTTCCTAATTGTGTTTTTTTCAACCCCCCTACTGAGCCTTTCCATAAAAATCAGTGGAGATAACACTGTCTACCCATACACAGAGATCAGAAATGCTGACCAAAGCACTGACAATTTTCACAATTATTTACCCTATCTGGAGCTATTTTATCTTCTGATACCATCTAACGCAAAACACAGACCTCAAAATACAGCACAGAGTATCATTAAGTCTCTCATTTGATTCCATAGTTGAACAGCTTTTGTTCAACTGATTAAAACTTCTACATTAATCTACAGTATCATTAAATGGACCCTAATTCCCACAAGTTGCAGGTTATGGATAAATTAAAATGACAAAAATTAGTTGACATCACATACACAAATAGCCAAATTAATAAAGCAATTTTCAATTTTTTTTTAAGCAATTAAAAGAGGGCACAACCTATTCACATAAATGTACACTCAAAAATGTACACTTAAAGATGCTTGCTAAAGTGGTGGTCACAGAAATTGACGTTATTTCCTACCTTATGACATTGTTTCTTACTATACAGTATTTCCTTCCCCCTTTTTTATACCTATTAATGGAAAGTAAAATTTTCTACTTGCAAGCAGTTATGAGTTAACACATAAAAAAATATCCCCCACGCTAGATACGTGTGATGTATAATTTTATGCAAAGAATTTCAAATCTACAGAAATGTCAGTTTGTTTTAGAAGCATGTGCCGGAGGTCAAGTGACCCAAGAGTCAGTATCTAAAACAAGTAATCTACAGACTACCATCTTTCCAAATGCTGAAGAATGAAGTTTGATTTAAAAATGACAGTGATCATCAAACAATTACTTGTAAAGTGCATTGTCCACTTACATAAGTAAAAATAATTTCTAGTTCTGATTTACTAAACAGTCCCAGCTAGTACATTATGCCCGTTAATGCTTCACAGTACACATTTTCTTTCACCTGACCACCTTAGGCAAAGCCTGGCAAAAAGAGAGGGAATTGTTTTTCTGAAGAATTGCTAAGATTTTCAGACAGGAATTGAATCAAGCTTGTTACCCTGCATCCATTTAAACCTTAAGTAAACATGTAAATGTAATCCACTCCAAGAGGTTCACAGAGGCAGAAGAGGATTGAGAGAAAAGTAGTGTATGCAGGAAGCAGAACAGTAATACAAATAAAAATGTTGATATAGTAATCCAGTTATATATTGATTCAGTTCACACTAGTTTTATCAAACATTACTACTAGAAGAACTTTTTCTTCTCGTTGGTTCTCTTAGGTGTGACCTATTGAAATTAGAAATGATAAAACAGTAACACTTGTGCATCTGAGCTGAGCTACTCCAAGGCAGAAATACACAACTGCCCTTTTCCTGGTTCTAGGGAATATACGAGATGGCCATAGCCATAGTCATTCAGAACTGAAAGACACAAACACATCAACAGCTGAACTGCGCTGACCTGCTAGATCAGCATTAAGAACCTCTTAATGCCTAAATAAAAAGCGCTGCCTAAGCTTGCATCTCCTCAGTCTTAACATTTTCACTCTTTTGCCTTCTAATAAACCAGTAACTTATTACAGCACTTTCTACCTCCCACCTCTGGTCCTATGCAGCTTCCATTTTACCAACAGAATTATCTTTTACTACTGTGATTAACATCTGCTTTGGTACAAAGCTCCCTGGCCTCTATATAATCCACCTGCAGCCTTTGGATGACCTTATCCTCCCCTTTCACCTTTCCAAGTCTGTCTTTTCAGTGTCTGCACTTGAAATGACCCATACCCTTGAACATGAAATTAAGAGGGCCCAGACAGCTCTCACACACACCTCAGTTACAGCATCTTTGATGATGAACTAATGTAGTATATGCAGTCTTCATGGAAAATACAGTCATAGTAATATAACTGCCCCTACCACATACTAATTTTCTTGGTTAGAAATGCAAGTCAGCTTCTCCTTTCTTACTTTCAGCATGGTAAACCCAGAAGTTAAGGCTCTACCAGCTTAATAACTAAATAAGGAATTACAGGTTTATTTAATTTCTAAATTTCCTACAGGTAGTTTTATAACCTGGTAAGAGCAACTACCTGAAGTGCTGAAAGTCCAATCTGCATACTGCTTACGAAAAACATTCCTGTAATGTTTGCTATATGGGAGGGCAGAGAAGCAAAGAATTGACTAATCTCAGAACTTAATTTAAAAAGTGTAGCTCCATATAAAAAAACCAAAGCAAACCCCTAAACCCACCCTCCTGATCATACTTCTTATCTTCTGCCATCCCATGCATCCTTTTATAGGCAATTGAAACTGACTGGTATAATTACCCCTCCTTACTCCTGGCTAAAGTAGAATAATAATTTTAAAAGATAATGAAGATAAAAAAAGAAAATAAAAGTTCCATTAAAAGAATTATCTGTCTTCATGGAAAACTCCAAACAGAGAGATACTTTTTGTATGTGTTGATCATCACATACAGGTTTTTCAGCTTCCAAAGGGTCAAAGTCTATTCTTCCTCTAAACAATGCAACTTTTGAGCTATATTGATTAATAAGAGACTAATCCAAGCCAGGGAAGCTGACTGAAGTATGATCAATTTGTAAATGTGAACTTAGTGAAGGCTATTATTGTTCTAGTATTCGTGAATGACTAATATATTTGCATATTACTCAGCATGCAGAACGTGTCAGATAAGGGCTTTTCTTAAGACAATATCATAAATAATGGAAACAGAAGGGGAAAAAAGCCTCCTCACCTGGATGATTCAGAAGGGCGTCAAGTTCTTCTTTGGCCACAACCATTCTTAATTTGTCACTGCTATCAATGACAAAAATAATGGCTTGGCCTTCTCTGCATAACATAAAAAGAGCAAAGAGGCAAATTATAGGTTCTCTTAAACTGATTAAGGAAAGGCTTCAGAAGAAACACCAAAAAAACCCCAAACCTGATATTTTTCCCCCCCTCTAAATTTTGTTATTTACCATTAACATTAGAATCCAGCCTTATCTCCGAAATTCAATCTTTTGGTAACCTGCATGATTTTTTGAGACACGAGATTGTCAGCTGCATGACTCATAAAAGGTTGAGTCTATACAGACCCTTCAGAAGAGCTTCATTTCATTACTGGGGCTGAAAAATGACCTCTGAAACTGTAACCAACTTCTGTTCTGACAGTGCGGGCAGACAAAGAAAATCTCAAGATGGGTTTTAGTAGAAATTCTTCATTTCCTACACTAAACCAAGTTTAGTGAGAGAAAGGTTAATTACCTTTTTAGAAAAAAAACATGTGTCCATAGCTGTTTAGCAACTAAGCATACGCGGATTAACATAACTTACAAAAGAATGCATGAACAGGATCTTTCTTTTCTTTGAATAACAGGTAAAAACTTTCAACTATTTCAAATCATCACGACATTTTGCTACCAATGTGACCACAGCTTAGCAGTCAGCTCCTAAACACCATGTCACAGAACCACCAAATGGTTTGGGTTGGAAAGGAACTTAAAAATCATCTACTTCCAACCCCGCTGTCACAGATAGAGACACCTTCCACTAGATGAGGTTGCTCAAAGCTCCATCCAACCTGGCCTTGAACACTGCCAGGGATGGGGCAGTCACAACTTCTTTTGGGCAACCTGTTCCAAGGTCTCACCACCCTCATAACGAAGAATTTCTTCCTAATATCTAATCTAAATCTACCCTCTTTCAGTTTAAAACCCTGTCCCCTTAACTATTCAACTCATTATTTCAGAATATATATGATATTTTATGACTTGATGTTTCATTTCTTGGAACTTATCTGAAAGCAAAATAAAGACGAATCTATTCAGACGAACAGTTATAAACACCCACTAAAAGTATTTCTAATTTACATTTTAATGTAATATTCATTTCTCCTTACATTTCCCTGAGAGACAACTGCAGATACATTCTTTACCCCCCAGCACCATCTACCTTTGTACTGTGATACGAAACAGACCTAGACCTACTGAAAACCAGAAATAACTTGACAAGCCTAGGACTGTATGAGATGGTCCATTCTTTTCTGGAGTACAGAAGAACTTTGACAGCAAGTAAAGCTTTTGCCTATTAGCTGAAGATGCCTAAGTAATTTTTATGAGCATACAGTATTTTTTCTAGAGGAATCAGAGTCCTGGCATGTATTTCCTACCAAAAAAGTCACTTCACAAACAAGTAATGGTAATGGGGACACAACATGAGTTACATATACTTAAGACAAGTGTACTTTGAGGACATCCTGTAAGATAGTTTCAAGCCAAATACAAGAACAGGCCAAGCTGCAAGGACTCCAAAGCAACTACTTAAGACACTTGATCAGATTTGATTGCCATTTTGCAATATGTGCAACATTAGACCTTGCTTAACTTTACAAACCGAACAATACATTATTAGTTTTATATTATTCTCAGAAGTTAATCTTAAATATGTGCCCACTGCACTAGATCACAAACAGGTGGATACAAGTGCACATTTCACTTTCAGCACTACCTAAGAAACTCTTACTGTTAAGATGAAATAAACTGTTTAAGCCACACAAACGAAAAGTTACTGCATTAACTACAGGAGTCAGAAAAAAAATTTGCTACGAAGCACTTGGGTGGCATTTTGAAAGCAGCCTAAAGGCATCAGTTATTGAAAACCAAAAGATTTGGAAGACATACATTTAACAGTTTTGAACAGTGAAGATCTCCTACCCACACAGGAAGTTTTCAAATTGCTAACACATACTTTGCACAGAAAGGAGACGAAGTGTTAACCCTCAATTAAAGAATACTTTAATACCACATTAAATATTAATATTTAATCTATATTGTAATCTCCAGAATTTCTCCATTCTATTTCACCCAGGTATTTCTGTATGGCTGACTACTGTTCAGCTTATTTAGACCACCATCAGATATTACAGAATAACAATGAGACAACATAAATGAAGATTCAAGTTTCATTAGAAGCTAGTAAAACAGAAAATGGTGTCTATTATCACAAGGCAATACCATAGTGTCACAAAATACAGTGAATATCCTGCTTAATAACTAACATCTAAGAATACTTGGTCAAGTTGTTAGTTACACGTGCCTTATTCTCTAAGGCTAATTTCCCACACCTCTAAAACTGTCAGCCTTTAGCCAATACCTTGTGGGTCTTAAGTCACCTACCTACAGAAGAACAGAAAAACTAGAAACCTAAATCATCTTAGTGCTTTCTTACAGGATTAGTTTTCAGGTTTCAACATTTAAATCCCACCTCTGGTATGGGATCATCAGCCAATCTTTAAGTCTACAAGATGTCCCCAAAAGCATGCTGATGAACAGCACATAAAAATTCTAATTTTTTTAGAACAGAAAGTTTTATTTGTCCAGATTGACCTCCTGTCAAACACCACGTGTAAGTCTTCTCTGAATCATTTCTAACCACTAGATATCATACTGCTGTTTAAATAACATACACAACAGCTAATATGAACACCAATGCTTTAAAATAAATGAGAAGCTTACTTGTAGTAATGTTCCCATAGATTTCTGTATCTCCCTTGTCCTGACATATCAAACACTGTGAAAGACAAACTGCAAAAAAGACAAAAAGAAGTATGACGCAAAGAAGCAAACAACAAAACCCAAACCCAAACTATTTTCTTTGCTACGCTGCCAGTAAAAAACCATAGATCAGCTTGAATCCTGATCAACTGAGAAAGATTCCCAAATGAACTCTGATTACTCTATCTGCTTTCAAACTATCCTACCCAGTTTTGTGGTCTTACAGAAATATTTCACAAAGGAAAATATATTTGTTTATTCTCTGAATAAAAGAACTAGAATGATTATAAAAAGTTACATCAAATACAAAATAAGATCCCATTCAGACTATTTTTTTATCATGTCAGTATCCACCATGCTACATGGTGTATTTGCAGGTCATCTCTCCTGCTACAGGATCAGAACAAAGGAAAGCAATATTAATTGATTTATGTAGCCTAATCCCAAACCTGTCTGGTGTGCTTTACTGAGAGAATACAGTTGCTGAGCCTCCTATAAAAATATGAAACCTATCCGTCCCACACATCATTATTATCAAGGAATAAATTTTCTTGCAGATCTCTCATCCAGTTGGGCATGCTACTTGTTTTGAAGACCAATTGCACCCATTCAAAATACACTGTGAAGGCTACAGAAAAAGAAAATACTGGCTAATGTTATCTCCTTGTATCTTCGTCTCACAACATTCCTTTTCTGAATCTTAGCCTTCATTCAACTAATGATTTCTTCCTCCTTTTCCTGACCTTTGCCCCTGCCATCTTTCCATCACTAACACTGTAGCCACCATTTGTCATTTAATGAGATTAAACTTCTATCTCTTCAGACTCCCTCCAGTGAGAGTGCTTAAAGAAATACAGGTTACCATCTAAGCAACTGTCTCTCCTCAAGACTGTAACAGTGCCCTATTCTGAAATTCTTAACAGTTGGAAATTAGATGCTTATACAAACTATTGCAAAACCTTTTTTTAACACATACATAGTTTTATAGCAGCACAAAACATACAATACATTCTAACACTGTCAGTCCTGGATCATGATTCTGACTCCTGGGTACTACAACGTTTCAACAAATGGCATGTAATGTCATTGTACCACCATACATTGTACTCGGTTACCTCCCACTAGAAGAGCTAATTAAGTTCAACTATATAATTAAGCCCAACTAGTATGTTAATTAATACGGCTAAATGGAGAAAATGAAAGAAACTACTACCTCGAAGTCCTGAATTTCTCTATATTGAATCCTATTGTTGGAACAATGTCCTGAGTTTGAGCCTTTAAAGGAAAGAAAGTATAGCTTTTATGACCAAGTTGGAAAATAAATAATATATATTTAAATATATTTGAAACATGAATACATTACAGAACTATTTTTCCCCCCAACTGTGCAATACAAAAACTTCCTACAACTCCAGATGCTTTATATTAAAAAAGTCCCCAGAAAAGTACTGTAATTCATACTCAAGGTTTTGTATTTTCTAGGAAATACAGTGAATACTATTGGACAAGAGCACTGAAAACACTTTATCATCAAAAATGAGATTCTACCCTTTACATTAGCCTGTGTGTATGGGTATGTGGGGATATTACCTATGAAATAAACAGGATATAGGCTAACATGGAAGGTATCAGCTTGAAGGTTCTGGCTGAGGTCAAAGTTCACAGTATTTGTGCAGTCTGGAAACCACAATGTCAGCCAAAAAAAGTCTGCACAACACCCCAAGCCTCTTAGATAAAAGAGGCTATAATTCTATCAAGATACTAGATTGGCGACACTCAGCTTCTCAGCTTCTGTCCACAGGCTGGAGGAGTTTATTTGACACTGGGAATTATACAGCAGACATTATACAATGGCTTAACCATAGATCAATTCAAACTATTAGACCACTGGAAGAAATCACCATTTACCACAGAGGAATGGCCAAACCATAAAGCATTATTAAGAGATCTGTGTGATAACCAGTTTTGAGCTAGCCAAAGAACCCATCAGTTAAGTTGGTACAACAGAGTAACTCCTTTAAGAAGCATCAATATTGATTAGAGAGACAGGTTACATTCCTTAGATTATAGAGCTGCCTGAAAAAGTGACATGCAATCCTTCTTCAGACTTTCTAGAGACCCTTATTAAACATGCTGTCTGTAAGCAGTTGACTTTTTGTATACGACTGAAGCAAATGTAGCTTGTTCACCTGCAAGCTTCCTTACGAAAATGGTATTCCAGCACTGTAAACAGTTTAGTTAAAAGTTCCCGTTCCCAAGGAAAAATTTGAGCAGAGCAGAAGAAATGTTATTTCTTTCACTTTTATTTCAAATTTATTTATTAGGTCCTAGAGAAACACTTGTATTTGCCAGACACGTAACATATTGCTCCCAAGGCAAAGTAGCCGTTCTTCTTAAGACTGGGTTGATCTAGGGATCAAAATCATCTGTCCATTGAACTTACTAATAATAAACAATTCAACCATGTCTGATCAAATGATATTTGTTGCACATTAGAGAATTTGTCATATCTTGCAAGGATAGGACTCACACAAGCTGTACGCAAAGCTACCCTCCTTAAAGCATCACATTAAATTAAAACATTCAGAAGTAAATTTTCATTACATGATTTACAGGAAAGCAAACAAATTTTGTTTATTCTACTTCTGTAATTCCCTTGGGACCGTCTCTCATACCTATTATTGTGATAAATTTTAAAGTCCGTATTCAGCTCTAGTTAGGAATCCTTTACTGCTTAAGGCACAGCATAAAAACCCTGCTACAACAAATGTCTCAAAAATTACATAAATATATAATTTGCCTGGTACAAATTGTACATTTCACGCAAATGACCGGCAGCAGATAGTAAACTATTTATAGTCTTTGTTTATAAAACTCTTTAATTTTCAGTGGAAGAATAATTGCCAGGAACGGAAGAATAGCAGACTCTTGACTATGGTACATTTTTTAAACAATTTCCAGTAATACTCTTCAGGAAAAGGTCAATGGAAATTAAAAACCCAAATGCTGTGTCCTGATGTAAACAGCAGAAATCATGGTTTCCTAGATGTGTAATAACCAAGACGCACAAGCCTCTGGCTTTGAACATGCCCACCAAAATTAATCTATTTCTGTTCCATAAACATACTTAGAAACAAGGTAATCCTAGGTTAAACTTTGCTCAAAATACTATTCGCTTTTAGTGGCCTGAGACACTTTTCACTGGATGAATGAACTGCAAGTATACATGCTACTTATTTTGAAAGGTATTCTGCTTTAAAAATGCTGAAGTCACCAATAAGTGTGCATCTACACATTGTTTCCTATTTTATTATTTATTATAGACTTCTTATTTCCCAGGCAGAAATTAAAATAAACATGATAAATGTAGACAAGTTGTTACACAATTGTATTAATCACAAATATTCAACACATCACTCATTACTGCAATCCTATAGCAATTGTTTAAGTGACCTAAGAAAGCTGTTTCAGATCCTGATTTCAGCCATCATAAACCCTTCCTTATGTAGTAATCTTAGAAAAAACATGCCATATTAACAGTGGTTTGGGGGAAATGCTTTCATGATATGCACATGGATGCTTACATTTAGTTTTAATTAGTTGGAAACCCTTAAAATATATTTGTTCCATTGTACTGAATCAAAAAGCTCTTCACATCTTTCCAAGGTCATATTTAGTGTAACAGCATGCAAAACCAATTTACACCAACATCAACTCTGCAGTAAAAACATCAACAGTGAACTAAGTAGGCTACTTACATTTGAAGGTTTAAGTTTATTTATGATCGTTGTTTTGCCACTGTTGTCCAAGCCAAGGCACAAAACATGAACCTCCTTTTTCTTCAGCCCAAGCCATCCTGCTAGCTTGTCAAACAAGCCCATAGTTGTGGCTCAAATGCACAGGGATCACCTGTTGTTCAGAAAATCAGAGAAGGAAATAGCTGCTGGAAAACCATAATATGTACAGCAGCGCCAGCACAGTAGGTGGGCATGTGGCTAAGCAGTCCTTAAACTTTTTAAAGGACAGAGTGAGTAAGACACTACACAAACACTGTCACAGCAGGTTTGCTTGGTATACTAAGCAAATGGAGTGTAAGCTGATTATAGCGAAGAGGCCTTGATACAAAAGTAGATTGGCCATTTATAGCCCTGTCTATATAATACAATGTCCTTGATTCACTGGGTAGAAATATTGCCAGTCCAAATAGGCAGGAAATATTAGGCAGTCCAAATAGGAGCAGAACTGCAACTCCTCCTTGCCTTCCTCCAAACTGAAAACAAAGGAAAACCACTGCATTTTACTTCAAATTATCAGTAGTCCAGTCAGACATCATAATTTAAACAACAAAGCAAAACAGTGTTTCCCTTCTTAACACCTGCTACATCATTTACTGAACCTTGAAGTAAATAAAGTACCTTCTGTCAATTCAATTCAAACTCTAATTGTAACAGGCTTTGCTGATATTAACATGTATAAATTAGGAACTCATTCACTACAAATAGAAACTGATTATAACAGATTCAACAGACATGAAGCCAGACACTAACATTCACCCGCACGCCAAGTAAATGCCAAGCTCCTACTCCTGCCCAGACACAGACTGAAGTTACCTGGCAGTAGCATATTCCAAGCTACTTACATCACACATTCCCTTGCTGTACCTGGCTGAACATACTTGGCAAAGATGATAACCCTTGTCTGCCCCGAATGAATTCCACTAAGAATAATTTCAGCAATCAAACAGCTGAAATATTTGTGACACATTAAATAGTAAAGCATTCAATTAATGCCTGAGGATTTTTGTGCAGTGGTGAAGGTTGAGTTTTCCATCAATAAAGACAAAACACACAGCAGTGGACAACTCAGATTGTGGTGTTAGTTACCCCACAAAATCACAGTAAGACGAGGAAGAGGAAAAAAAGTCAATGACAAATATTTGGTCTCTCTTCTTCAGTAACTAATTATAAAATGATTATTTAGTGCATTTTAAGAGAAATAATTTAAAACTCTTTGAATCTAATAAAGCCCCATAAGCCATCACCTTTGTTTACACTATGATTTTTTCTTCCTTTTTAATACAGATCCTTTTTAAGGTTCTATGTACTGCATTTTGATTCAAGACTGGTAGTGATGTATAGAATGGCTATGTATGTAACAGCACACACGGCTGTCACTAGATTAAACATGCCAAATATTAGTTATAGTAATTTCTTCAAAGAAAAAATAATCATTATTTTTCTTCTAACTCCCTGTGGTTTTGCCCCACTCCCTTTTTAATATACAACTCTGAAAGCAGATTAAGGCTTACTGTTTATTAGCAAATTAACCTGACAAAACCCTGCTCCAAGACACATTACTTTCTATTCCAATCAAGAGCCTTATCTATATATTCCAGATGACAAAATAGATGCCCTCAATAAATACTTTGCAAGCACCCTTAAAAAGAAAATAGAGAAAATGCAAGCACTTAAAAGGTAGTACTAGGACTTCACTTTCAAACCTAAAAGCCTAAATACACATACTTCGACAACAGTTCCTAACAGCATTTTAACTACAGCCATTTTTTTCTAGCAGTATTCCATAAGAGTTGGCTAAGTCATTAATTAAGGATAGAGCGGGAAAAATGTACCCTTGACTTCCTGCCCTGTCCCTTTTCTCCCATTGTTTTCCTCAGCTGTGAGGTTACAGCTGGCACAGGTTCCCTTTTCTGCCAATTAGCCTACAATGCTAATAGCATTGTAATATATATATCCTAAAATTACTTAAGATAGAGTTCGGTCCATTAACTCGTTATGGAACCCCATAAACTTTTATCAAGAACTGTAAGCCTGTCTGAGGCATCACTGACTAACACTTGTAACTAACCAGGCATCCCAACTGCTGAAGATAAACCAGGGATGTACAGCATGCCGAGAAGCGGTGACCTGCTGCACGCTGCGGGATGCCCGGGCGGGCACAGCCTCGCCTCGCCAGTGCCTGCTAAAATCAAGACATGCCAACCCACCACTCCCATTATCGGCACGCTGAGCTGAAAGCCTCAGTCCACACAGTGCTACACACACCGTGGCTTTTGAGCTTTTGAGGCAGCGATCAAAGCAGACAGCCCGCAGAGGCCCCTTCCAAAGAGAGGTCCATTTAATTCAAGTGGATTGCTCAGATTAAAACGCTGAGAGACCAAAGCTGCCCAAGCCACCCACAGGAGGCCCTTTTAGATTAGCATCATTTAAAACTCTAGCTAGACTTCGTGTTGTTCCTCAGGACCGCCGAGTC